ATTAATACTGTGAAAATGTCCATGCTACCCAAAACTAACTATAGGTTCAATTCAATTCAGATCAAAATTCTAATAACATTTTTTTTTACAGAAATAGAAAAAACAATTTTAAACTTCATACGGAGCTACAACATACCCTGAATGGCTAAAGCAATCTTGAGCAAAAAGAACAAAGTAGGGTATGGTGTATATATACAGAATATGTATTATTCAGCCTTTAAAAAGAAGGATATCCTACCATCTGTGACAACACGGATTAACATGGAGTACATTATGCTAAGTGAAATAAGGCAGTCACAGAAAGACAGATCTGCATGATCTCACTTGTATGTGGAATCTGAAGAAGTCTGGGAGCAGATGAGATGTTGGTCAAAGGGTACAAACTTGTAGCTGTAAAATTAGTAAGTTCTGGAGACCTGTTTTACAACATAATGACTATGGTTAATCATAACGTGTACTTGGAATTTGCTGAGAGTAGATCTCGTGTTCTCACCCCCCCCCCACATACACACACACTAGATGAGGTGATAGATACATTAACTATCTCAATGGTGACAATTATTTCACAATGTATATACATTTAGTAAAACATGTTGTATATCTTATATACAATTTTTATTTGTCAACATGCCTTGGTTTAACTGGGGGAAAAGTGTCAATAACAATGCTAGCTAGCAAGGGTTTAGGAAAAGTGTCTCTTATATGTTTTGGTGGGAATGTAAAATTATATAGCCATTATGGAAAATAGTTGAGCAGTTTCCTTAAAAACTGAACATATAAAAATCAAGTATAGCATTGAACTATTGGGCATTTATTGTAATGAAATGAAAACTTGTACTCAAAAATTTGTGTACAAACATTCATAGCAGCTTTAATTGTAATAGCCAAAACCTAGGGGGAAAACAGATGTTCTTCAACAAGTGAATGAACAGTTCAGTTGTGGTACATCCATATCAAGGAATACTACTTAGCAATAGAAATCAACAAACTATTGAAACATGAAACAAATTGTTCTCAAAGATATCATACTGAATTTAAAAAGCCAATCTCAGGGGCGCCTGGGTGGCGCAGTCGGTTAAGCGTCCGACTTCAGCCAGGTCACGATCTCGCGGTCCGTGAGTTCGAGCCCCGCGTCAGGCTCTGGGCTGATGGCTCGGAGCCTGGAGCCTGTTTCTGATTCTGTGTCTCCCTCTCTCTCTGCCCCTACCCCGTTCATGCTCTCTCTCTGTCCCAAAATAAATAAAAAAACGTTGAAAAAAAAAATTAAAAAAAAAAAAAAAGCCAATCTCAAAGGCCACATGCTACGTGGTTCCATTTATATAACATTCTCAAAATGACAAAGCTGTAGATTTGGAGAACCAAGTATGGTTGACAGGGGATGGGGATAGGGGTTGGGGGGTGAGTATAAATGGATAACATGAGGAAGTTCCTTTGTGGTGATGGAACAGTTCTATATCTGTATTGTGGTGATGGTAACATGAATCTATGTATGGGATAAAACTACATAGAACTACACACCCACAGATGAATGCATGTAAAAAGTGGTGAAAACTAAATAATATCTGTAGCCTAATTAACAGTATTGTAACAATGTCAGTTTCCTAGTTTTTATGTTGTTCTACAATTATGTAAGAAATCATCATTGGAAGAAGCTGGATGAAGAGTACCAGGACTAGGTACTATTTTGAAAATTTCTGTGAGTCTATAATTATTTCAGTATAAGTTTTTTAAGGGTAAGTACATATATTAGATACAGCCCAGAGGGCTCTACCAATTTGTATACATGGTATGTATATATACATTATGTTTGTATAGATATGTTGTATTCACGGTGTATATGTTTGTATATGTGGTGTGTGTATATATGTATTTTGGTATATGTGCATATGTGTACCTGTGGTGTGTGTGTGTATACATATATGTACACACACACATATATATCCATATATCCATATATCCAGAAACTTCAGAGACTATTCAGCACAGCTTTGCTAACATAGTGTGTCATACTTTTTTATCTTTTCTAGTCTATCAGGTAACAAATGGTATTTCAGTGTTCTGATTTGCTTTTCTTTTACCATAAATGAGTTTAAAACTTTTCTTTTCATGTATTTGAGGGCTGTTTTTATACTTTTTGTTGTGAATTGTCTGCTCATGTCCATTTTTCTATTGGATTCTGGTTCTTTGTTCCTTAATATTTTTTTCTAGTTTGTCAGTTGTCTTTTGAATTTGTTTATGGTTTTTACCATGCAAAAGCTTTTATTTTTATTCAACCTACATTATCAATCTTTTTTTTATTGCCTCATTTTTGAGTCATAGTTATTTTTTATTGCATCTGAATTTTGAGTCATAATTTACCTAAACCAAGGTTTTAGAGAAATTCACCCATGTTTCCTTATTTATATGGTTTCATTTCTATAGTTAGGTTCTTAATCTATTTGGAGTTTATTCTTATGTGTGGTGTAAGATACAGATCTAATTTTTTTTTCCATTGGTTGTCCCAGTTTTCCCAGCACCATTTATTTAATTTGAGTGATTTGAAATGCTACCTTTATCAAATACTAAATCTCATATGTGTTTGGGTCTGTGTCTGGACTTTGTATTCTATTCCACTGGACTATTTGTTTATTTGTGCACCAGTTCCACAGTATTTTAATTATAGAGGCTTTAGTAATATGTTTTAACATTTTGTGGGGATAATCCCCTGTGAAGTTTTTCTTTTCCATGTCTCTCTTGCTCTTCTTGCATGTGTGTTTTATTGCCTGTAAGTAGTTTGTCTTACCTAACTGCTTTGGCTCCTACCTCTAGTACATATTGAATAATAATGGATAGGGCCACCTGGGTGGCTCAGTCGGTTAAGTGTCCGACTTCAGTTCAGGTCATGATCTCATGGTTCATGAGTTCGAGCCCCGCTTCGGGGCTCTGACATCTCAGAGCCTGGCGCCTGCTTCAGATTCTGTGTCTCCCTCTCTCTCTTTCCCCTCCCCTGCTACCACTCTGTCTCTCTCTCAAAAATGAATAAACATTAAAAAAAATTTTAAATGAATAATAATGAATAATAATGGATATGGTGGACATCTTTTCATTGTTCCTGATCATAGTGGAAATATCTCTAGAATTTCCTCATTAAATACAATAGTAGCTTTAGGACTAAGATATATGTATTTAATCACTCTAAGAAAGTGTCTCTCAGTCCCTATATTCATAAGTGAATTGATGTTGAATTTTATCAGTCTTTTTTAATATCTATGGAAATAATCATGATTTTTTTCCCTTAGATTTATTAATATGGTATATGATATTGATGGATTTTCTAATACTGAAGTTGCCTTACATTTGCAAAATAAATACCACTCTGTCATGGTGTATCATTTTCTTAAGATGGTCTTGGATTCTGTTTGTCAATATTTTTAATTTTGTGGTAAAATACACATAATATTTACCATCTTAACCATTTTTAAGTGTACATTTCAGCAGTGTTAAATACATTCACATTTTTGTGCAGCCATCACAACCATCATCTGCGTAACTCTATTCAATTTTGTAAAACTGATTTGCTTGTTAATATTTTATCTAGCTTTTTTCATCACCGTTATAAGTGATATTGTCCTGTACTTTTCTTTCTTCCGCCTTTATCTAGTTTAAGTATCAATGTTATTTATACTTGATTCATGAAAGGAATTAGGAATTCCATTAAAAATTTTTTTTTTAATCTTTATTTATTTTTGAGAGAGAGACAGAGTGTGAGCACAGGAGGAGCAGAGAGAGAGGGAGACATAGAATCCGAAGCAGGCTCCAGGCCCTGAGCTGTCAGCACAGAGCCGGATGCGGGGCTCGAACTCACGAACCATGAGATCATGACCTGAGCCGAAGCCGGATGCTCAACCGACTGAGCCACCCAGGCGCCCCAAGGAATTCCATTTTAATGCTTATAGAGCATTATAAGTTAATTTATAGAGCATTGGGACTAATTATCAAAACTAACCCCATAATTTGATGTACAGTAATGGCACCCTCTTCTTCCTTTTTTCTTCTTTTTCTCTTTCCAGTTGCCAAAGGATGTTTCTTCTTCATTTTTGTCGTTTTTTTCTTTCCCAGAAGCTATGCATTTTATAAATTGTGTTCTTTTTTTTTTTTTTTTTTTTTTTTCAAAAAAATTTTAAGTTGATTTATTTATTTTGAGAGAGAGCACAAGCAGGGTATGGGCAGAGAGAGTAAGAGAGAATTCCAAGCAGGTTCCACACTGTCAGCACAGAGCCCAGTTCAGCTCAGACTCACAAACTGTGAGGTCACAAACCTGAGCAGAGATCAAGAGTCTAACACCTTAACTGACTGAGCCACCCAGGCATCCCTAGATTGTGTTCTTCAAATCATACAAACTTTTAAGTTCCTTCTGTGTGATTTGGGTTATAATCTACCCAGTTTTTGTTTTGTTCTATGGGTTTTTTAAAAATCATTTTCAAATTTAGTATGGACTTAGTCTGTTGTATTTTTTTAATCAGTGTTAGGTTCCATCTGTTCAGTTTTCCCCCACAGGGTTTTTGGTTTTTGTTTTTTGGTTTTTTTGTTTGTTTGGTTGGTTGGGGTTTTTTTGCATTGTTTTTTGTTCTGGTCTGTTTCTGCTTATCACAAATCCTTGTGGATCAGCAAGGATGAAGTGGGAGCAGGAGAGAACAAGTGCTGGTTTTAATGTTTTTCTTCTCTTTTTTATTCACAATTATTTTGAAGCTTTGGCATTTTCTGTCTTAGTTACTTTACAGGCTGAAGGTATGGTTTCATGTAGAATTTCCTTTTTCATTCCTGTTGCCTATGGTTTGGGGAAGAAATAATGTGAGGTGGGTATCTATGCATTTGCCATTTTCTTCAGCTCTAAAGAATTTTTATAGATACTGCATTCCTTTTTTTCCACTGTCTGAGGTATATACTTTGGAACAAGTGAATTAGGGACAATAGTGACTTTGGGGGGTGTGAACATAATTAATGCTTTTCTATTGTTAAAGGTTACGGATGAGGCAATTTAAACAGAACTGGAAATGTGATTTAGATTCAGCCTTGAATGAAATACAGGTATGACATTTACTTTTTTAAATAAATAGCTGTGATCTCTGAAAACCAGTAATAACAAAGGACCTTGAATAGTAAAAGTTTTAGGAAAAGTTTTTAAAATGTGACTGTTATACAAAGAAAGTGCTCAAGAAAAAAGTTTAATTTTTTTAATACTTTGAAATACAAATGTAACTTCTAGAGTTATGGACTATTCTAAAAATAATTCTGGAAATAATTGGCTCATTTCCAAAATTAACTTCTATCAAGGTATAATAATCTAAGGCTTAATTAGCCTTTAATTCTTATCACTGGACAGACTCAGTGCATAAGAAAGTTGGCTTTCTTGTCACAGTCCATGGATGGCTGCGATATGTGAGATGATAGTGGAAAGCCAAGGCCAGTGTGCCTTTTCCAGGTGTTTGGAGGATAAGAAATGGAGAACTTTCAGGACGATTTTACTGTTTGGTTTAAGATGATTTTTATATTCATGTAGTAATTGTTGGTCTAGTCTTAATTAGTATTTATATCCTTGAAACAATCTGTTGGTATGGAAAACTATTTCTTTGTTTATAATAGAAAATAATGAGAAGATGTTAAGTTTACTGAAATTTACTTTGTATTCCCTATCATAGAAGAAATGTAATTCCCAAAATGATATTTGGGCCCCAAATCATAAATGGGGCCAAATAATAGTAAAATGCAATCTGTAAAAGTAGCAAAATAATGTATTTCTCTGGAGACAGCTCAAATCATATTGCTAATTATCTCTTTTCCATAAAATCTATCCTACTGTCTAGTTCAGGTTTGAGGGTGACATCCTTAAGTACATTAGGAACAAGACCATTAAAACAAATGGACATTGCCATCTGGAACTTATAGAGACTGTGCTATAGTCAGAAACACAAATTGTATGATAGTAAGTTTTTTAATGGTATAACACTGCTGGTAAGTTTATAAGACCTATGGAGATTGTCTTATTAATTTCTGTATATCTAATGTCAGCATGTGCATATTCCATAATATGTTTGCATAATGACAGCTTTCTTTCTCTTTTTTTGTTTTGTTTTGTTTTGTTTCTAATAATTCTGATAGCATTGTAAAGAAAAAGGTGACTGGACCAAATTGGGAAATTTATACATTAACATAAAAATGAGCTGTGGAAACTTTGCAGATTTCCAGAGATTTTGTGCTTGTATTGCTGAAACACTAACACAAAACTGTAAAGAAGAGAAACCAGGCGTTCCATTTTGTGAATTTGCTGAAACAGGTAAAATGTCACTATTTGGGTCTGAGTATTATGTGTGTTAGCGTGGTGCAGTGTTCTTAACAGGAATGTAAAGCTCTTAATATTTTCCACGTTGGGGATAAGTTAATATTGCAGATTTCAGATTTCTCTTTATAAATATTTCCATCTTTTTGTTATTAAGTTAGATTATAATGATATAAGGTCAAGAATTGGTGTTTAAAAAAAATTTTTTTTCAACGTTTTTTTATTTATTTTTGGGACAGAGAGAGACAGAGCATGAACGGGGGAGGGGCAGAGAGAGAGGGAGACACAGAATCGGAAACAGGCTCCAGGCTCTGAGCCATCAGCCCAGAGCCTGACGCAGGGCTCAAACTCACGGACCACGAGATCATGACCTGGCTGAAGTCGGACGCTTAACCGACTGCGCCACCCAGGCGCCCCAAGAATTGGTGTTTTAATATCTCATGCTTCATGTTTTATTTTTCTTTTCATTCAGATTGGTAAAACTATTTCTAGCAAATTATACTGGAGCACCTGAATTTTTGAATCATTTAAGTTGTTACTATCTTCACTACAAGTCAACAAAATTCATGTTTTTGAGACTTTTTTGAGCTCTTCGCTGCTATTTATATATTTTTAAAATGTTTATTTGTTTATTTTGAGAGAGAGAGAGAGTGAACATAAGCAGAAAGAGAGTCCCAAGCAGGCTCCCCACCATCAGCGCCGAACCTGACACAGGACTCAATCCCACAAACCGTGAGATCATGGCCTGAGCTTAAATCAAGAGTCAGACACTCAACTGACTGAGCCACCCAGGTGCCCCTTCACTGCTGTATATTCTTTATCAGGGGTCAGCACATGTTTTCTGCAAAGGGCCAGGTAGTAAATGTTTTAGGCTTTACACATTCACATTTAATCTGTGTTACATAGTTTTCTTTTCCTTTCAAACAACCCTTTAAAAATAGGGAAACATGGGAGGCTCTTGGGTGGCTCAGTCGGTTGAGTGTCCAACTTCAGCTCAGGTCAAGATCTCACAGTTCGTGAGTTTGAACCTTGTGTTGGGCTCTGTGCTGACAGCTCAGGGCCTGGAGCCTGCTTTGGATTCTGTGTCTCCCTCTCTCTCTGCTCCTCCCCTGCTCACACTCTGTCTCTCTCTCAAAAATAAATAAATATTAAAAAAAAATTTTTTTTTAAATAGGGAAACATGGGGCACCCAGGTGGCTCTGTCAGTTACTTAAGCATCCGACTTCAGCTCAGGTCATGATCTCATGGTTCGTGGGTTCGAGCCCTGCATCAGGCTCTGTGCTGACAGCTCAGAGCCTGGAGCCTGCTTCTGATTCTGTGTGTGTGTCTCTGTCTCCCAAAAATAAATAAAAACATTAAAAAAATTCTTTCTAATAGGGAAACCATTTTTAGCTCTCAGGCTATACAAAAACAGACCACACACCAGATTTGGCATGTAGGCTGTGGTTTGCCGACACCTGATCTTTGGTCTAGTATCAATAATTTCATGTTAATTTGCCTTTTCTGTCATTTTAAATGACTTTTCCACCTTTTCCCATATGCCTACTTTGTGTTCCAGTTAGCAAAGATCCACAAAATAGTGAAGTAGATAAAACTTTGCTGGGAAGAATTGGAATCAGTGCTATGTACTTCTATCACAAGCTGTTGCAGTGGGCCAAGGTATGTCATTAAATTTTGTTTGGGCTTGGTACAGAAAGTGTTAATTTTAAATTTTTTAACAGAATATAGTTAGCACTACAAATTAGAAATTTGCTAATAATGTTACAAGTGGCAAAATGAGTCCCAGACTAGTAAGTGAATTATTAGGTAGTATATTAAGCAAACGTGGAAAGGAAGTATCAGGAGACCGGCTACCCTCAAGTATCTCACTATAGGGAGCACTTGGGAAGCTGTGCTAAATACCATTTTGCAAGAGTTCAAGACCTTTTTTTTAAGATGAATCTGGGAAACTCACAACAGAACTTCTTAAAAATCATCTCCTAGAATGCTCTGGAATACTATATCCCATATATCTTGATATCTGCTTTGGGATATCTACATAGAAGTGGTCTAGTTATTCTGGACTATACTGAACTACCATTCTTTAGATTTCCCTGAGGTGTCAGGTGGTTATAGATTCATTAAAGTGAAATAAAGGACAGGAATATCTAAAACAAGAAGTAAGTGCTGAGGGATAAATGGAGCAGTTGAGAGTGTGGTCAATACTGAATCAACTATTATATCTTTTTGTTACTACTTCTTATATTTCATATAATTGAAGGTGAATTGAATAAGTTATAATTGAATATGTTCAATAACATTTAAGCACAGGGTCACTCCTACATATACAGATTCATGGATATTAAAAATTTTAATGCTTATCTATTTCTGAAAGAGAGAGACAGGGCGTGAGCGGAGGAGGGGCAGAGAGAGAGGGAGACACAGAATCCAAAGTAGGCTTCAGGCACCGAGCTGTCAGCGCAGAGCTGGATGTGGGACTCGAACTCATGAACCACAAGATCATGACCTGAGCCAACATGGACACTTAACCTACTGAGTCACCTAGGCACCACCATGGATTTGTTTTATTTAAAAAACAACAACAGTGGCACCTGGGTGGCTCAGTCGGTTGGGCGTCTGACTTTAGCTTAGGTCATGATCTCACATTTCGTGAGTTTGAGCCCCGTGTCAGGCTCTGTGCTGACAGCTCAGAGCCTGGAGCCTGCTTCAGATTCTGTGTCTCCCTCTCTCTTTCTACCCTCCTCCACTCATGCTCTGTCTGTCTCTGTCTCAAAAATAACTAAACATTAAAAATTTTTTTTTAAAAAACAGCAACAGAATCCTTATATGTAAGGTCTTCAGTCTCCAAGCTCTTCATGAGGTTTAGCACCTACTGTGATGTGTGATCCCATACCAACTGATGTGTGATTAGTATGTGATCCCATATTGGGATGGGCAGAATGTACCTTGTCCCTGGTCTCACAATCTAGTTTAAGGTTCATCATAGCATTAATTTCTTAGATATTTAATGCTTGAGAAATTGAGGACTACATGATAAAATCTTTTTGAAAAAGATAGATTTTGCTACAATTTTAAGGCATATTTTAATTTTATTTGGTTAATACTATCTCTTAAGAGGTTGGTGAGTTTGTACCTGAATTTTGATTTAAAATTTTCACTGTCTTGTTTGAAACAAATATTTTATTTATTTTACTTAGTATGAATTTTTTTAGTGGAAACCTATTCCTTTTGAACACAAAATTATTAAAATTATGTTAAAGCTTTCCCTTTAAAAATGCACTCATTTATACAGGCAACTTAAAAATACTTTGACATCACAATATGAATCTGAATCAGCTAGTATAGAATATAATATAAAACAAGGGTCCATAAACTAAGAGCCAGATCTGGCCCTCACCTGTTTTTTTACATCTCAAGAGGTAAGAGTGTTTTTTACATTTTTAAACAGTTAGAAAAGAAAAACAGCAACAACTAAAAAGAATGTGCAACTGACTAAATGTGACCTGCAGAGCCTAAGTATTTACTATCTGGCTGTCTATAGAAAAAGTTTGCTGACTCTTGATATAAAATAATAATATATGTCTCATTTCTGATGTCCACACTAGAGCTAATCTTTTATGTAGACTATGTGAATAGTCTATTGAATAAAAAAGACAGTTTCCAGTCAGTAGTTTTATTCTTTTTTTTCCCCCACTGTCATTCTTCCTATAAATTTGATAAGACATTATCTCAATTTTCACTGTCTCTCCCTCTTGACTCTTAGGGTGATCAACAGAAGAAGTGCAGAAACTTGTAATCAGTAGTTTTCCACATTAGGGCAAGAACTCCTTTTTCCAAAAGAAATCTTTAGGGGAAGCACAAGTATAAAAACACTTGAAAAAAGGAGTCAGCAGTGTGAGGATTAATAGTGAGGCAAAGCCCTGCTTCCTCCCCTTCCCTGTCTGTCTTTGTGGCTAAGCAGGAGGGGACTGAAAACAGGGATTTTAGAGCAGTTTGAAAACCATCAGTATAGAAGGATGATTAATATCGGATAATTGGTTTGTATATAATTACTCATTTTGTACCTCTGTGATACTCTACATGAATGATATTCAATGAGTGTTCTTTACTTTTACTCTAGGGAAGGAAGGTCTTAGATAAACTATATGAATTGAAAATACATTTTACAACTTTAAAAGGACTTACAGGGCCTGAGAAGTTAGCACCAAGATGTCAAATTGTGAATATTGCAGCAGAAATTTTTCTAAAAAGTGGAAGCCTAGATGGTGCCATTTGGGTATTGAGGGGTAAGTTCTGATATATGTAAGCATAATATAATTGGTTGTTACAAATTCTTGTCTATGTAATTACCTTAAATTGATGTTGAATTGTGAATGGCAGTTTGACCTAATAAACCCTAGTGATCGTGTGCATAGGAAAGGTGGTTGATGTGTTAAATGGAAGGAGAAAGTTAACCTCACTTTAAAGAAAAAAGCATATGACCCTTTGTTGAAAAGCTAGTTCTTACTTCAGCCCAGGCACCATACTAATAAATGCTTTACATCAATTATCTCAGTTAATTTTCATAGAAACTCTACAAGTTTGGAATTAGTATAACCCCCTTTTTTTGTTAGTTAAAAAATGTCAGAGACATTAAGCCACTTGCCCAAAATGATACAACAAGTAAGAAGTGGAGGCTGGATTCAAACCCAGACAGTCCAGCTTCAGAGCCCAGACTTCAGCTACCACTGGGGCAGGTAAATCCCTATTGATAATCTGCATGAACTCTTAACCTTTGTACATACAGGCAAACATGACTTCAAGCCAGGACAAGCAAGGTTACTTCCCTATTAAGTCAATCCATCTAGCAGAAATCACAATGAAATTAAGCCAGGAGAAGCAATTAAGATTGGTTTGCTATGAGGTAAATGAAAACTTAGAGATCACACTGGTAACACAACATGCTACATGATGGTACCTCTGGCTGCTTAAACCATCAGGCAGATTTCATTTGATAAAATGGGATAACAGTGAAGAAACCTCAAGAATCTCTGGGTTTATGGGGCAACTGGGTGGTTCAGTCAGTTAAGCATCTGAACAACTCAGGTCATGATCTCACAGTCCATGGATTTGAGTCCTGCATCAGGATCTGTGCTGACTGACAGCTCAGAGCCTGGAGCCTGCTTCAGATTCTGTGTCTCCCTCTCTGTCTGCCCCTTCCCCGCTCATGCTAGCTCTCTCTCTCTCTCAAAAATAAATAAACATTAAATAAATTAAAAATCTCTGGGTTTAGGTGGAAAGATAGAATATATGCACAGGTAGAGCAAATAGATAATCTTTACACTAACACACAAGCACATATACATGCACATACATATGAATATATAATTTATGTATTATATACGTGGAATAATTGCATACATATATGTAATGCCTTGTATTTGTTCAGGGCTGAGAGTTTATGGAATACAGAGGTTCTGAGTGGACTTCAGGATCAAAAGCTTGTTGGAAAGGGTTTTCTCCAACTTAACAAATATAGCCAGTGAAGTTTGCTAAGTGGGGAAGGGTAACCAAAATACAAAAATAGAAATTAGCAAGAAGTGAGCCAGAGCTCACAAGCTTTGTTGGAAAGGAGAGATGTGGTGAGAATGGAAAGGTTAAAATGGTTGATAAAAATGAGCGTGAGTCACCTTATGATAGGAAATTTCAGCCTAAAAATTCTGGAAAAACCAATCTTTCTCAAACTAGAGCATGAAGGAGGGTTTGTGTGAAGGGTGTAAAATGAACTGTGGAGATTTAAAATTTTTACAATTTTAATGTTCTCTTTAAAAATTCTGTAAGTTATAACAGGATTTCCTTTTGCAGGGATAATTTCAACTGAAAGTCATTTTCATAAATAAAAATTTACTTCTTCAAAAGAAAGACCCACAGAAGTATACTAAGTTCTCCCCAGAATTATTTTATTGTTAAAAGCATTCTGCAGTAAACAGGCCTTTCTCAAGAAAGGAAATACAAAGGACTCTATCTCACTTGTAATACATGAGTGCAATACTCATAATAAAAATATACATTAAAATTACAAAATACCTGTCAGAGTAGCAAAATAAGAGTTTAGTGATATACTTTTCATGAAAGTATAGAGAAACAGGTATTCACATACATTGTCTTTAGGGGCTTTTTGGCAAAATATCTGTTAAGATCTAATAGTGCATATTTTCTTTTATGTTTCATCTCTATTTCTAATAATTTCTCCTGCAAACACAAGTATGTACTGTAAGTTGTCTACAATCTTTTTTTGAGAGAGAGAGATAGATTGAGAGAGTGTGCACGAGCAGGGAGAGAGGGACGAAGGAGAGAGTGACAGAAAGAGAGAGAGAGAGAGAGGATCTCAAGCAGGCTGCATGCTCAGCATGGAGCCCAACTTGGGGCTCGATCCCATGACCCTGGGATCATGACCCACACTAAAGGCAAGAGTCAGATGTTCAACCAAATAAGCTACCCAGGAACCCCTAGAATATATTTTTTAACCATCACAGTGCTAACAAAGGATTCCACATAACTTAAATGTTTCATTAAGAAAGTACAAGTTGAGGGGCGCCTGGGTGGCGCAGTCGGTTAAGCGTCCGACTTCAGCCAGGTCATGATCGCCGCTGATGAGTTGGTGGCAGCGTCAGGCTCTGAGCTACATTAACGGGCCTGGAGCCTGTTTCAATTCTGTATGCTCCCTCTCTCTGCCCTCCCGTTCATGCTCTGTCTCTCTCTGTCCCCAAAATAAATAAACGTTGAAAAAAAAAAAAATTTAAGAAAGTACAAGTTGAGACAATAAATTTCATATATAAAAAAAAAAAAGAAAGTACAAGTTGATTGACTGTGTGATAGCCATATGATGGAGTAGAATAAGGCAGATCTACAAATAATCATGTGGAATGTTCTCCAGGATCTGTTGCCAGATGAAAAAAGGAATGTGCAGAACAGTGTCCACAGTAACGTAAATAAGATGGACACACACGTATTTCCTTTTATACCCTTAAAATATTTTTAGAAGGATGTACAAGAAACAAAGAATGGTGTTTGCTTCTGGAAAGAAGAGTTTAGTGCTTGGAGGACATGGATAGGAGGCAGATTAACTTTTTCCATATGCTTTTTCTGTATTTTTTCCTTTTATTTTTCTTTTTTAATTATTTTTTTCCAAATTTTTATTGAGATAGTATTTAGATAACATACAGTGTAATGTTGGTTTCAGGAGTAGAATTTAGTGATTCATCACCTACGTATATCACCCAGTGCTCATCACAACAAGTGCCCTCCTATTAATGCCCATCATCCATTTAGCCCATCACCCATCCACCTCCCTTCATCAACCATCAGTTTGTCCTCTATTGTTGATAGTCTTTGGGGTGCCTGGCTGGCTTAGTTGGTTAAGTGTCTTGACTTCGGCTCAGGTCATGATCTCATGGTTTATGGGTTCCAGCCCTGCTTTTGCTGTCAGCACAGAGGATGCTTCAGATTCTCTATCCCACCCCCTTCCCCTGCTCACATTCTTTCTCCCTCTCTCTCTCAAAAATGAACATTAAAAAAAATATTTAAGTCTATTATGGTTTGTTTCCCTCTCTCTCTTTCCCCCTTCCCCTATGTTCATCTGTTTTGCTTCCTAAATTATACATATCTGTGGAATAATAAGGTATTTGTCTTTCTCTGACTTATTTTGCCTAGCATAATACACTCTACCTCCATCCACATCATTGCAAATGGCAAGATGTCATTCTTTGTGATGGTTGCATAATATTCCATTGTATATCTATACCACATCTTTATCCACTTATCAGTGGACAGACACTTGGACTCTTTCCATAGTTTGGCTATTGTTGATAATGCTGCTATAAACATCAGTGTGCATGTACCCCTTCGAATCTGTATTTTTGTAACCTTTGGGTAAATACCTACTAGTGAATTGCTAGTTCATAGGGTAGTTCTATTTTTAAATTTTTGAGGAATCTCCATACAGTTCTCCAGAGTGGCTACACCAGTTTGCATTTCCACTAACAGTGCAAGAGGGTTCCCTTTCTAGACATCCGTGCCAACATGTGTTGTCTCTTGTGTTGTAAATCTTAGCCATTCTGATAGGTGTGAGGTGGTATCTCACTGTAGTTTTGATTTGTATTTCCCTGATGATGAGTGATGTTGAGCATTTTTTCATGTGTCTGTTAGCTATCTGGATGTCTTCTTTGGAAAAATGTCTATAAATGTCTCCTGCCCATTTCTTAACTGGAATGTTTATTTTGGGGGTATTGAGTTTGATAAGTTCTTAATAGATTTTGGATATTATCTTTCTCAGACATGTCATTTGCAAATATCTTCTCCCATTCTGTAGGTTGCCTTTTAGTTTTGTTGATTGTTTTCCTTTGCTATGCAGAAGTTTTTTATTTTGATGAGGTCCGAATAGTTCATTTTTGCTTTTGTTTCCCTTGCCTCTGAAGACATGTCTAGTAAGAAGTTGCTATGACTGAGGCCAGGGAGGTTGCTCGCTGTGTTCTCTAGGATTTTGATGGTTTCCTGTCTCACATTTAAGTGTTTCATCCATCTTGAATTTCTTTTTGTGTATGGTATAAGAAAGTAGTCCAGTTTCATTCTTCTGCATGTTGCTGTCCAGTTTTCCCAGTACCATTTGCTGATGAGATTGTCTTTTTTTCCATTAGATATACTCTTCTGCTTTGTCAAAGATTGGTTGACCACATACTTGTGGGTCTAATTCTGGGTTTTCTGTTCTGTTCCATTGATCTGTGTCTGTTTTTGTGTCAGTACCATACTGTATTGATAACTGCAGCTTTGTAATACAGCTTGAAGTCCAGAATTGTGATGCCTCCCACTTTCCTTTTTCTTTTTTTTTTTTTTAATGTTTATTTATTTTTGAGAGAGAGAGCATGAGCAGGGGAGGAGCAGAGAGACGGGAGACACAGAATCTGAAGGAGGCTACAGGCTCTGAGCTGTCAACACAGAGCCTGACACAGGGCTTGAACTCATGAACCATGAGAGCATGACCTGGGCCAAAGTTGGGCGCTTAACCTGACTGAGCCACCCAGGCGCCCCTCCTTTTCTTTTTCAGGATGGTTCCATACCAATTTTAGGGTTGTTTGCTCTAGTTCTCTGAAAAATGCTGGTGGTATTTTGATAGGGATTGCATTAAAGGTGTAGACAACTTTGGGTAGTATCGACATTATAACAATGTTTGTTCTTTCAATCCACAAGCATGGAATGTTTTTCCATTTATTTGTGTCCTCTTTAATTTCTTTTTTTTTTTTTTAACCTT